GTGACTTTAAGCAAAATGATTCATAATGAAACCCATTTTACCATAGGCTAATTGATATAAACAAAAGTTCCTATGGCATCGCATCAACATTATAACTAAATGATGTTGAAAAAAATGACGTTATCCGAGGACCTGCTGTACTACGTAATAGCCTCAATTTTGTTGCTTGGCCCACAATGCTTGAACTGTTTATTATCTGGCCCTTTAAGAAAATATTTGCTGACCACCTGCTCTAGATCAACTGCAGGAATTTAATTTGCTGTAGCTAAGGAAATGAGTAGGAAATTGGAATAAACAGTTCTCTACGGGAACGGCATTTTCAAGGCAGGGTACTGAAGGACCTTCCTCCTAGGCCTTGTCCTTTCCCTCATCCCACCCTGGGTGGTTTTCTACCCACTCAGCTCGCGCATGAGAGGACAGCATCTGGCTTCTCGAGAACAATGGGGAGGCGCTGGGCCAACTGGCTAAGAATTTGATCCTGTGAAATTGGACAGTTTTCTATTTGGCTGCGACGATAGTTTGATTTGAAAACACCCAATTAGTGACTGTAACTAATACATTGTTTCGCTGAATTAAATTATTTTATCATCCTTCCCACTGGATGTAGAGCATAGAGAAAGTTCTTGAGTAACAGGCTAGTGTCTGAAATGAATCTGTAACGGGTCACCGACAACCAGGGCACGGCTAGTTTACAGGCTAACTAGGCTAATTCTCCAGAAACCAGGCGGTAGGCCCTATGGCATCACACCCACGTTATAACTATGAGCCTTTTCTAGCAAGAACCAAACAGGTGATGGACACCTGGAATATGGCTATAGATGTCATTCATTTGTTTGTTTATCCAATAAGGAGCTCCTAGTCTAATGGGGAGACAGAAAAACAAAATAGTAAGTTTATAGGACATTCACTTAGTTTTTGTATGTATGCATTATGTCCATAGGGCTACAAAGCATAGAAGAGGCATGCATGTAGCTTGGGTTTGAGGGATGTTTTCTGGAAAAGATGGTGCTTAGATGAAATCTTAAAGAACGGTTCAAGGTTATTCAGATGAAGGGAGTGGAGCAGCTGTGCAAGTGTGTGCGTGGGAGGATTTAGACAATAGAGAAGCAGAGCCGTGAGAAACTTTAGTGCATTTAGAAAACTTTAGAAGGTTCTGTATGACGAGATAATAGCAGCAAGAAATTATGCTAGAGGATAAAAGAACAGCAGGACCCACACCATACTAAGGAGTTTGAATTTCATGCTGAGGGCAGTGGGGAGCTACTGAAAGATATTAACAGTGACATGATTATATTTGCATTTAGAAAAGATTGTCCTGGTATCACAATGGGGAGGCGTGTGGAGCAGAATGAGACCAGAGCTTGGTGGAAATGTTAACATGGCTGTTGCGGTTATCCAAGTGATGTAGGCAGTAGAAAGGGTGATGGGAAGAGGAGAATGAAATACCAAGGTGGTCAAATTCACAGGATGAATTGTTGCTTGGATGTGTGCAGTGAGGGAAGAGCCGCCAAGAACACCATTCAGATAGATCTCGAATGAGATGACGGCTGCAGGACAATTAAATGCAAGGGGAAGGGGATTATTAGCCATATAAAACAGTTCTGAGAAGACCTATGGGAGCAATGACTTGGGAATGATGGAGGAGGTGGTGTTCGAGATAAGAGAGTTAGAATTGACAGTTTCACCCACCCCACCCTCTAGGGAGGGGAGTGGGGCTGGAGACTGAGTTCAATTGCCCATGGCTTATGATTTAGTCATCCATACCTATGTGATGAAATCTCCATAAAAGCCCAAAAAGGACTGGGTTCAGGGAGCTTCTGGGCTGGTGACCACGTGGAGGTGCTGGAACAGTGGCACACTCGGGGAGGACATGGGAGATCCGTGCCCTTCCCCCATGCCTTGCTCTGTGCATCTCTTCTATCTGGCTGTCCCTGAGTTATATCCTTTTTATAATACACCAGTGATCTGGTAAATACAATGTTTCTCTGTGTTCTGTGAGCCGCTCTAACAAATTAATCGAACCTGAGGAGGAGCTCTTAGGGACCTTTGATTTACAGCCAGTCGGTCAGAAAGCCCAGGTAACAACCTGGATGTGTGACTGGTGTCTAAAGGCCAGGGATGAGGGCCATCCTGTATGACTGAATCCCTAACCTGTGGGGTCTCACACTGTCTCCTGGTAGATAGTGTCAGAATGGAGTTAATTGTAGGACAGCCAGCTTGTGTCCTGAGAACTGCTTGTTGGTGTAGGGAACTCCCCTCACCCATATTGGAATTGGTACCAGGACATATTTAACAGGTGCTCAGTAAGTCTTTATTGAATGAGTGAATATTGTTGAATGGTTGGATTTTAGGATGTCAGAATTTAAGTGCCCTAATCATTACAGTTAGCTGATGGAAAGACAGAATTCCAGAAAAGGGAAGTGGCTTACCTATATGTTTTTAATTTATTTATTCATATAGCCCAATGCATGGTTTGTTTGTTTGTTTGTTTGTCTGTTTGTTTTTCTTAGCTTGATTATTTTGGCAATGGAGAGCAACCCATGGATGATCAAATAGCCATGTCTATAAGTGGCTGATGACAATTTTACTTGTGTATGTGAAATGTGAATGTAACTTTAGATATTACTGTCATTTAAAACTTTTACCCCTAGCGCTTTGGAAAGAGTCTTAAGATCCATTTGCTGATCTTAAGTCCTCAGAGGCTGGAAGCAAACTCTACGAATCATAAGAAAATCTTGTGGTTTTTGTAAGCATGCCTTGAAATACAAAAATAACATTAGGTTTTATTTATTATTTTCTCTTCATGATACCATTACCTGATGTGGCAATAGCCTAGTCACTGTCTCTCTTTGTCTGGTTTACTTTCTACAATCTGTTCTATATATGGACAATTGAATTTTCATTAATCTCAGCTTTGATTATGTATTTCCCCCACTTAAATGCTTTATCCTGTCTTCAAATGTCTACAAAGGAAAGTAGTTTAGTCAAACTACTTAACCTGTCCCTAACCAGTCTTTCCAGCTTCATCTCATGTCCTGCTTATTAAAAGTATATAGAGACCCTTCTGACCCATAGACCAGTGCTTCTCAAACTTTAATGCACATATGAGTCCCTTAGGGGACCTTGCTGCCATGCAGATTTCTGATTCAGTAAGTCTGGGGTGGGCACCCGGGTTCTTGCCTTTCTAACAAGCTCTTAGGTGATGCTGATAAAGCTAGTTCAAGGACCACACCGGAGTAGGCAGGCCCTGACAATATTAGGCCCTTCTCCTATGTGCACTCATCACATTTCATGGTTATGTGTTTAGTAACGGTTGTCCTTCCCTGGAGAGTATGTCCCCAGAGGACCATATCAGATCTGTCAGTTCCACTGTTAAGTCCTTTGGCACCTATCAAAATGAATCTGAGATGCTCAACATTCTGGCTTTGGACAGGATCTAATTTACTCCTTCCCCTCAAACTACAGGCGGTGAATTGAATCCAGAGGGGGAATGTGACCTCTCCAGGGTGACACCATGTGTTAGTGCAGAGCTGAGACTAGGAATGGGTCTCTGAAATAAATACCTACTGTGACGCGAAACTTCCAGTAAAGTTCGTAGGAGAAGTAGCACATTATTCAGAACTTGCCCCCCAGGTATTGGATACTTAACATAGAACTCCCACTGAGAGCCCTATGGCAAATTGCAAATGTCTCAGAGAAGACAAGAAATACCTCTGGGGCATTTCTCCGAGTCCATGGAGGCTCCACAATTAGACTAACAACTTATAGGATAACTAGAGTGTAACCAATTGAGAAGGATTGACCTAATTCTTCCTTTTTAATTACCTTAATTTTATGCATCAGGTAATTAATTGAATGAGTTAGTGATTACAGATGCTTTTTCTATCTCCAGCCAGGAATGAAAACAAGTTGCATAGAAAACATAGGTAGGAGAAAGAGCAGAGATTAGTGTGTAGGCTTTTTGATAGGAGTCTGAATGAACCCCGTGCTATTAATACAAAAATCACGGTGGTATTTTATATCTGAGCAATGTATGTGTTTGCCTAGAAGGAGGAAAATAGAGGGCATGCCCCAAAATAGCTTTTAGGAGTAGATCAGCGTTTCTCAACTTTGGCAACATTGCCATTTTAGGCCAAATAATTTTTTATTTTAGGGGACTGTCTGGTCCATTGTAGGCTACTTAGTAGCATCCTCTACCCATTAGATGCCAGTAGCACTCCCCCCAAAGTTAGGACAACCCAAAATGCTTCCAGACGTTGCCAACTGTCTCCTGCAGGAGAAAGAGACAACATGATGCCCGGTTGAGAACAACTGTGCCTAGACCATTGGTCAGACCAAGTATGTTTACAGGGCCACTGTAACAGCCACACAAGTTGTGCAGTAACAATTCCACAGAGCACCGTTCTCATAAATTTCAATGTTTGGGGCAACTTATTTCAGATTTTGATGATATCTGCAACCCAAAACTTTGGCCTTTTATAACGAACCTTTGTAAGCTAAGAGCGTCCCCCATTTAAATACGATGACGTGAAGAATTTGCAAAAGCTACTCGCCCATAGACTATCTGGTGACTTTAATGTCCAAGAAGATTATCCATCGGTCACCTTGATCTCCACTAATGTTCTTGTCTTCCACCTCACCTCATCCTAGACCTTGTTATCTTCAGTAACTGTATCGCCTCTGAAACCTTTATTTCAAGCGTCTTTCTCTCTGATCACTAACCCCTATGCTTCTGATGATTAACCATTTAGTCCGCCCGACAATGTTTTGACCCACTGGGTCTCCAATGCATTGACCTCACCATCTTGCACCACCGACCACATCCCTTTTGTCTATATTCGCTTCTTTACCCAGTTCCGGCTCTCTTGTCCATCATGGTAACCATCCCTTGTAAAAACCCTCAATAACCTTGCCTTACTAGCCCTAAGATGGGATTTCTGGCTAAACACGATACAGAGGGAATCTAATTATTTACCTTGTTTGTATCTGTATCTAAACAGGTAAATACCTGCACCTAAATGGAAGACACACACAGTATAGTGGCTAATCCACTGCAGTCTAGATTCAAGACTACAAACCTCAAATGGGCACTTACAGCTGCTTAGAATGCTCTTCCTGGTAAGTTTGTTTTCTCCTTTCTGGGACAAGTCTTTCATACTTCGCTCCCTCCGATGTCTTACCATTGCCATGCCCTCACTCTTCTCTGATAGCTCTGCCTGAAAAAAGTCAAAGCAGAAGGAACTCTTATACACACATTGTCAAACCCAGAACTTATCTTTATTTGTACCTGGATTCTCTATTTTCCATCTTTTTACTGCTTTTATCAAGGGCCAGTCTCCTTCTGTGCTCTCTATTCCAGTTCCTGTAACTTCCTCAAGCATTTTGCTTCTCTAGTTTCACCATCATCTGCATCAGACTTTCTTCCTTTCAATCAAATAATTTCCATTGTGTAGAAATCCACACTAGTTTCTCACATTTTACATTACCTTCTCATCATCCAAATTGGACTTCCTCTCCCATCACATTTCTTCTCCTTCACAGTAAATCTTTTTGAAGGATTAGTCTACACTCGCTGGATCTGGGCTATTATCTCCCACAATTCCTCTAATCCACTCCCATATGGCTTTTACTATAATCACTTCTCTAAAATGATTCCTGTCCATAATCATCATGTTGCCAAAACCGATGGACTTTTCTTTGAACTTCTTACTCACCATTTACTGTCCTCTCCTTTTTGAAACTTTTCTTAAAAATAATACTACCCTCTCATAATCTTTTTCTTGCCTCTTTATATGCTCCTTCTTAAAAAATATTTTTAAATTATAGTTGACATACAACATACCATATTATATTAGTTTCAGGTGTACAACATTGTGGTTCAGCATTTATAGACCTTAAAAAGTGATCACCCCAGCCTAGTAACCTTCTGTCACCATACATAGTTATTACGATATTATTGACTCTGTTCTCTGTGCTGTACATCATATCCCTGTATCCTTCTTTTATTGTCTTTTTTTTTCCTGATTTTTTCCTTCTCAATCCTACCTTTAATTGTTAGTTCTCTGCTGATTGGTCCTGAGCCAATTCTCTGTCTGCACATTTTCTACAGTGATCTTAACTACCTCTTGGCTATAACTGCCAAATGGATGAATATGGCTGTCTAATCTATATCTGCATCCTGCACTCTTTCCTCTGTTCCAGATTTATATATCCATCTGACTCTTAACTATTTATAACTGGATGTATGATAGGTGTGTCAACTTAGCATTTTCAAAACAGAGTTTTTGAATTTTTTTTTCCTTTTCTTCCATGTTTCCCCCAAGTCTTTCCCATATCACTAAATGACATCTTTACCCATCCAAGAGCCCACCCAGAACCCAGTCAGGCCACAACCCCAGGAATCAACCTTGATGTATTCTTTACTTTTATTCCCCACTCATAAAGGGGCTATTGGAATGTGAAAAGTGGGGGAACAAACAGGGATTGGGGGGCTATGGGAAATGGAAAATTGCAGAAAGGAATAAGTGGAGAATTACCAAAAATGATTTGGCAGTGTGAGTTGGAACAATGCACATTTTGTGGTTTGTAGCATTTTATTTTCTTGAGCAAAGAATCAGCACAGGGGCTGGGGTGGCCTTAGAGACATGGCCTAGGGCAGGTGAAAGCCAGGCTAAATTTAGTCAAGTCTCTTAGCAGTGTTGGCTTAAGTCCTTTATGGCATGTGGGAGGTCACAGTTCATACCCTCTTCACTGTTACTACCTTGTCCATCATTTGTCCTCTGGACTTTTGAAAGAGCCTCTTCAATGGTCTTCTGGCATACATTCTTGCCCAGTGTCAATTAAATCATGTGTTCTTTAGTCATTAGGGAAATGCAAGTCCAACCCACAATGATATACCACTCCATACCCATTGGAATCGCTATAATAAAAAAAGACAGACAATAACAAGTGTTGGTGAGGACGCAGAGAAATTGGAACCTGCATACACTGCTGATAAGAATGTAAAATGGTACATCCACTTTGCAAAACAGTGTGGCAGTTTCTTAAAATGTTAAATACTGAGTTACCATATGACTGACCACTTCCGTTTCTCAATATTTATGCAAAAGAATTGAAAAGGTGTCCACACACAAAAAATGTATGTAATGTTATTATGTGTCCATTATGGGTCAGCAGAGGGTCCGTGCTTATTGCAGCCACACAGGGACCTCGGATGACGAAGCAGCCATCCACCCTACCAATGATTATGAATTGTTACTCCAGAGGGAACACATAACTTTGGCAGATCTTACATCCATAATTAAATGATACATGTTACTTCTGCTCACAATTTAGAGGCTAGAAGTAATCACAAGGCCTCATCCAATGCAAGAGCAAGGAAGTCAAGCCCACGTGTGCCTGGGAGGTGAAGAATGAGAAAGGCTCAGCAAGCATACTCATAGCTCCTTGGCCTGTGCCCTTGCCATTCCGTAGGCTGGTATGGTTTTTCTTCATCTGTGGGCAGAGCTGGCTCCTTCTCATCCCTTAGTTCCCAGGACTTCCCCGACAGAACTTCTGTGACAAGTCTGTCCCGAGCGGTGCCTCCATCTCTTGCGCAAACCCTTTAGGGTTCTTTATTCTGTCCCCCAATGTTATGACTCTGCTTGTTTCATGATCTGAAGTCATGTGCTGTATTGCTTTGCTTATTTTCTTATTGGCTAACTCTTTCCACTAGGATGTACACTTTTCGAGGCTGTAATTTGTATTCTTCTCTGTTTTATTCATTACTGAATCCCCAGCATTTAGAACAATGCTTAGCAAGCTCATAATAGAAAATCAATAAATATTCATTAAGTGAATGAATGAACATGCCTTTTTTTTTTTACCTCTCTAGCATTTTTCATGTTGTTCCTTCTTCCTCTTCTTCGAAACAAAATACTGTGCATTCTCTAATGTTCAGCTTAATGTCATCAGCTCCATAAAGCCTTTGCCTAGTCAGAGGTAATTTCTAACTCAACCATGCTCTCATAAAATTTTACTTTTCTTTTTTTTTATAGCAGATGCTCTGCCTTATATCTCTATAGTTGTATGCATGACTCTTCAACATCTCCTATCTCATACTTTGAATTTGATTTATAGGGGTTATTAAGGCTAAGTGGTATGTCTTGTAAATATTGTGTATCCCAGTGCCCAGGCCATTGCACCATATTTCCTGAACACCTATGTACCAGGCGGTGTTCTAGGTGCTGCGGATAGAGCAGTGAACAACACAGAGTCCCTACCCTCACAAGGCTTATTTTCTATTGGGGCAGACAGACCAACCCCCAAATAAATTTTATATGACACAATTAAGATGGGATAAGCACTTTGAAGAACAATTACATTAGTAGAAGGGGATAGACAGTGAAGAGGGAGTGTTGGTCAGGGAAGGCTTTTTGGAGATGTGATATTTGAATAGCGATCTGCCTGAAGTGAAGACACAAGCCAGCAAAGCACCTGGGAGAGGTATGCTACAGGCAGATAGGACATCAAACACAAAGGCTCTGCGATGGGATCGAGCTAGAAGAAAGCTGCTGTACTGTGGGTGGAGTGAGATTAGGAGCAAGTCAGAGATGCCGGGGCCACATTATGTGCAGGACCTCTGTATGCCATCTAGTAGTTTGGGGTTTTGTTCTGAGCATGTTGGCATATCATGAGTAGATTTTGAACAGATCAAGATTTTTTAAAGCATTAAGTCAACGAACCCCATCTGTTGTGTAGAGAATAGTCTGTGGGGGACAGAAGTGGAATCAAGAAAACTAGGTAAGAGCTGTTTGATAGATCAGGTGCGAGAGGAGGTTTGGATGAGAGTGGTAGTGAAGAAAATGCTTGGTAAGTGCCTAGAGGACAACAGTAGTGTCCAGGGAGCCGATTGAAGATGGTGTTTCAGTGAGGAGGAGGCTCAAATAAACCAACGCTGTGGAGAGGCTGAGCAAAAGGAGGCTTGGTAATTGACACCGGGTGTCATTGGTGAGCTTCGTAAGTGTGGGTTTTTTGGAGTAGTGGAGAGAAAAGCTTGATTGGAACGATTCCAAAAAAGTGGGAGCTGAAGTGGAGGAGAGAATATAGACTGATGGAATTTTGTTATAAAAATGAGGCAGATGAATAGAATATAGTGTGCATAAAAGTGATTAATGGATGAAAACTTTTTAAAAAATAACACTCAGAAGAAAAGAGAAAAGGGAATGGATTTATTTGTAATTATCAGTCACTGTCATCTTAAAAGGAAGCTTGAGGCTGTCTTTTCTTCCTACTCCTTTAACCTGTCTCTATCCCCAGGTAGAAGACTTCCCCTATGGATCAGGGATGAAATAGACTCTAAGGACCAACAAGGCCACCTTGCTAATGATGAAGGTTCTAGAAAGAAACATAAAGGGAAAACCTGTAGATATATACTGGGCAAAGGCTCTCTTGTTCCTTTTAGGATCGCTGCCTCTTGTTGCCATTCTTTCTTGGCTATGATACTCTTTTCTCCCATTTTGGGCTTCTGCCCAGTGTTTTTGAATTTCACTTTCCAGAAAGCCAGTTGTCCTAGCCAGAACTCTTTTTCTTTAAAAAATATTTTTATTGGGGTATTGGGAGGAAGGGAACAGTGCTGGAGAATTGGGGGAAGGGGAACAGACAAGTTGCTGTCGTTTTGTTCTTCAGTATAGTTGTGGAGGACGTTGCTTCACTGGCCCAAGTTGGCACCATCATTGGACTCTTCCCGGGCGAGGCACTAGCCAGAACTCTTAATTGCAGATTTAAGAGAGAGCAAGTGAGAGAGAGGGAGGGAGATATCAAAACAGTAAAAAGCAAAGCAAAAAGTAACTCAAAAAAAAATTGGTTTAGGTCAAAACAATGAATCAATTCTTTCTTTTTATTTTAATCTCCAATATTTTTCCTCATCAAAGAAATAAGACCTTGAAAAACAGGATCAGGTTGTAGATCTAAGAGAAAATGCAAAAGAAAAAAAAGTCACTTGAGTATTTTTAGTCTTCACAGGGATCAGCAAACCACAACCCACTGGGAAAAGCTGGCTTACTACCTATTTTTGTAAATAAAGTTTTATTGGACCCCAGCCATGATAATTCATTTCCATTTTGTCAATGACTATTTTC